AATATGTCAAGCGGCTTTTGGGTTCGTCGAAGAAGCTTTTGCCTGATTTGACTAACCATGTCTACAGAGGAAAGAAAACTGCTTGCTGATGTCCCGAATGCCCTTGCCTATCACAGAGTCATTGAGACTGGTATCGGGGGCTATCTCGTTCGGCAGTACATACACAGCTCCCTGTACGATCGCTTGAGCACTCGACCTTTTCTGGAAGAGATAGAGAAGAAATGGCTGTCCTTCCAATTATTGTGTGCAGTCCGCGATTGCCACGCCCGCAACATCTACCATGGTGACATCAAGACGGAAAATGTCCTGGTCACTTCATGGAACTGGCTCTATCTAACCGACTTCTCCTCGTCATACAAGCCCGTCTACCTACCAGAGGACAATCCTGCCGACTTTTCCTTCTACTTCGACATGTCTGGGCGGCGGACTTGCTACCTCGCCCCTGAGCGCTTTCTTCCTCCTGGTGAACAACCTGAAGGCGAACACAACATCACTTGGGCAATGGATATCTTCAGTGTAGGCTGCGTCATTGCCGAGCTCTTCCTTGAAGCTCCCATCTTCTCGCTGTCTCAGCTTTTCAGGTATCGTCAACGCGAGTACGACCCCACACTTTCGCATCTGAGCAAGATACACGACCCCGGGATTTGCGAGCTCGTCTCTCACATGATCAAGTTGGACCCAAGTTCCCGTCTATCCGCCGAAGAGTACCTCAGGTTTTGGGAGGGCAAAGCCTTCCCTACGTATTTCTATGGTTTCCTCCACCAGTATATGCATTCGCTTACAGACCCTGCATCGGGCCAGAAGCCTGTCACCACAACTTCGGAACATCTGGGCGAGCCAGACGATAGGATAGAGCAGATCTACAGTGATTTCGATAAGATTTCTGTCCTGCTTGTTGGGAACGATGAGGATAAGCGAACGAAGCCGTCCGTTGCACCTCCGAAGCCGAACGACAAACTATTCCCATTGACAGTTGATATACCGAACTACCAACACCGACTCTCTCCCACGCCCAGCCGCTCAGTTGATGACGGCAACCTCATATTTCTGACCACCGTCGTGTCATGCATTCGCGGAACAGCTAGAGCATCCGCTAGGTTACGCGGCTTTGAACTCCTTCTCGGTTTTTCGGAACGCTTGACGGATGAAGCCAAACTCGATAGAGTCGTGCCATACATTGCGACTCTCCTGCAGGACCGATCAGATCAGGTCAAAGTAGGCGCTTTGCGAACCTTGACGCAGATTCTGGCCAACGTCCAAGTAGTCACTCCCATCAATGCCTACGTCTTTCCGGAGTATATTCTGCAAAGACTGGAACCCTATCTTCCCGACTCTCATGCAGGCCGACCGAGCTCACTGGTGCGAATGCACTATGCATGGTGTATCGGCACCCTAGCGACTACAGCAGGCCGCTACCTTGACCTGGTTCAGGCTCTGCGAACTGATGGCTCCTTGTCTACTGCCGACGTAGGCGATGAAACACTCTCCTCTTCGATCCGCCGCAATCAATTCGACTCAGATCGACAGAACCTCCTAGACGCTTTCGAAAAGCATACAAAAGCCCTGCTCACAGACCCAGAGACTTCAGTACGCCGTGCCATGCTACGGTCTGTCTCTGACCTCTGTGTTTTCTTTGGTAGTCCCCGGGCGAATGACGTGGTCCTCAGCCATCTGAACACCTACCTGAATGATCCGGACTGGATGTTGAAGTGTGCCTTCTTCGATGCGATAGTGGGGGTTGCGATCTTCGTAGGAGGTCCTGGTCTGGAGGGCTACATACTCCCCTTGATGGTCCAGGCGCTGACCGACCCAGAGGAGTTTGTGGTTGAGAAGGTAATTCGAGCCTTCTCCTCCATGGCTGAGCTGGGGCTATTTCAACGATCGAAGACCTGGGAGCTAGTGGACATTGTGGCGCGCTTGACCATGCACCCGAACATATGGATCCGTGAGGCGGCTGCTCAATTCATATCACAGGCGTCCAAGTACCTGTCTGTAGCAGACACGCACAGCATACTGGTGAACCTTGTAAGGCCATACCTTCGCGTCATTCCTGCGGACTTTTCCGAGCTGCGCATTCTCGACTCCTTGAAGAAACCACTACCTCGGCTGATTATGGACATGGCATCTAACTGGGCCGTTCAGCCGTCTCAGAAAGGCCTCTTCTGGGCTGCTGCGAGACAGCAGCGGACTTTCAGCTTTGGCTCCTCCGAAGACACATTACCCACCATTTCCGGTCGCGAATTGGATTCGAAGGTCCTGCAACGCTTGCCCAAGAATGAAGAGGATGAGTTATGGCTACGGAAACTGCGCAGTGCTGGAATGTCCAGCGAGGACGAGTTCAAGCTCGTATCGCTTCGGGAGTTCATATGGAGGGTCAGTCAACGACGGAAATCAGATGCTGCCGGTTCAACTGCATCAGAGTTTAACAAGATCGTTGCGCTGAAAGATCTGGGTATTATCCCGGAAACGGTGCTATTTGAATCCAACGCCCGTCAGGTTGTAGAGCAGGTGAAGACTTCCACGGCACCGCAGGAGCCCGCAGGTCAGCCTCGGACGATTGCAGACGCACTTAAGGATGCAGCAGCAGAGGCCGATGATGGCAGCAGCGGTTTGCCTGCCAGCACCAAAACCGACGACAATGTCAGGGATCGTTCACAGTCCGTTTCCCTTCCTGCCCAATCGAGGCCGTCTTCTTCGCCGAAAGTTGTGCCCATCCCTAAAGAGTCAACTTCTCTTAGGCCAGAGACAACACGAAGGAGCTCGCTTCAAGTTCCCAGGAGTTCGCCTGGTAACCAGTCAACGGCGCCTTCAATAGCAAGTAGTGCGCGGTCTGCGCTTCGCCATGAGCACAGCGCACTGGGCCTTTTGAAAGGCGAGAACAAGGCAGCTCCGGAGACCGGCACCTCTGATACGACTGCGATCGGAAGAGTTGATGGCGTAGCCGGCCGAGCTGCCTCCCAGTCGCGACAAACTGCCACCGACCTTGCCGTCGAGCAACGAGGGGCAAGCTCCACAGAGCCTCGGTTCAAGGACGCACACAACTATAAGAAGAACAACCCGACCGTGCTGAAGCTACTCGACTCGATGCTTTCGGAGAATCTGCCACCTAGCGAGACGGAATTTGGCCCACTTGTCCAACTTCCTTCACAGCCGGAACCAGTTCGCTACAAGGACTCACAGCAGTCAAAGAAAGTAGGTCCATGGCGCCCAGAAGGAGTGCTCATGGCGACATTTTCCGAACATACCGCGGCAGTCACTCGGGTGCTCGTAGCCCCCGACTATGCATTCTTCATAACCGGCTCCGATGACGGGACTGTAAAGGTATGGGATACATCACGTCTGGAACGCAATGTCAGTCGTAAGTCGAGGCAGACGTTCAAGCTGGGCGACAATGTCCGTGTCTCCAGCCTGACCTTCCTCGAACAATCCTACTGCTACGCTGTCACAGGAACAGACGGCAGCGTCCACGTCGTAAAGATCAACTACTTCCAAGGCGCCGATGGAGCCGGAAAGTTCGCTAGACACCAAGTCCTCCGCGAACACCAGCTTCCAGAAGGGGACGTCGCAGTATGGTCAGAGCACTACATGGACGGCAACAAATCCGTCCTCATGCTCGCTACAAACACATCCAAGATCATCGCGCTAGACCTGCGCAACATGTCCGAACTCTTCACGCTACGAAACCCTCTGAACCACGGCACACCAACCTGCTTCTGCGTCGACCGCCGCCACCAGTGGCTCATGCTCGGCACCTCCCACGGCGTCCTATGTCTATGGGACCTGCGCTTCAAGCTCCTCCTTAAGAGCTGGGTCTTCCACGGCGCCTCCCCCATCCACCGCATCGTGCGCTGCAAGAATAGGAAAATGTACATCACAGGCGGCACGGGACAAGGCGAGATCACCGCCTGGGACTTTGACACAAAAGACATGGGCAAGCTGGTCTGCAAAGAGATATACCGGACCGGTCACGCACGCGATACCGGCAGCAAGTCCACCACCGTCATCGATCTAGATAACGAAGAAGGATCAGGCGGTATGCTAGGCCGGTTTTCGACAACCCTGGAACCGTCCGCCAGCGCAGCCGCAGACCAGGGGATCCGCGCGCTCGCAGTCCATTGGCAATTCGTCCCCGGACCCAAAGACCCGCGTCAAACGTTCCTGCTCTCCGCGGGTCCGGACTGGAAAGTGCGGTACTGGGACCCGCAGACGCCCGCGTCTACGACCGTCGTTAACGGCCTCGAGGTTGGGGAAGCGAAGCCGGTGTACAGTGCTTCGCGTCAGTGCGTTGAGACGCTTGTAGTCAACGAGCAGTTAATGGTACCGAGTACGCGGAATCAGGGGGCGGGAAGTAGTAGCGCCCGCGAGTCGTCGAGTAGGAGTTCGACGACCTCGTCTAGGAGAAGTGGGGGACAGAGAATTGGGAAGAGTGCGCTTTTAGTCGGGATGCAGCAGCAGTTGCTTAGAGGGCATGTGGATTTGGTCACGGATGTGGCGGTGCTCGAGGTGCCGTATGGCATGGTGGTTAGTGCGGATCGGAGTGGGGTTGTTTGTTTGTGGATGTAGAGGGAAGGGGAAGTGGTTTCTGGGCTTTGATGAAAGAGGTTGAGAGGGTGGTTGGGTTTGGCATTCGTATACATGATCTTTCTTATAAGATTTGTGTACTTGTGACGAAGTGTATGCTCTCAGGACGCAGGTCCTTCCAGAACGACCCTGATTCAGTCTCTAATTACGGGTTTCGTTGTCGTTCGAAGGTTTGCGCGGGTGATGCAAGCAATAATACATATAACCGCCGTAGTGATGCATGCATATTTCAACATTCATATATCCAGAAATTGTTCTCGAGTCTCAGAGCTAACGCAAACGGCATCAGGCAGGTATTTCTGACATTGGCAACTTCCACCCAACCGCCAAAAAGGCAGAATTCGGGCTGCTGTGCAAAAAGGCATCCCAATGCCGAATATCTGGGTCTGAGAGGGATGCAAAAAGAAAAGCAAAAGATGAGGTCGTGCCCGGGTTCGAACCGGGGTTGCCGGAAAATCTGATACTAATCAAAATCCGGAGTGATAACCACTACACTACACAACCAATGTGCTTGCTTTATTGAAGTGTAATATCGTCAGAATGTTCATATTGCAAACACAGCTTGCCCGCATGCATCTGAAAGGTGTTGGGATGAAATGGGTGTTTGGTGCACGGACCCCCGAGGCGGAACTGCATTGTTCCACGCGACGTGGTGTTGTCTTCCGACTAAGGATCAGCTGAAATCCAGTTCGTAGTCCCGAAGTCGAACATGCGGTGGCCTTGCGAGAGTTCCATTTGTCGAGCGATTCACAATCAGGGCTTCCGTGCCCAGCAACTACGACGTACGCCGGCCGGGGCGCTATGACGGACGCATCCGCAAGTTGCGATCCTGAGCGATTTACACGCGTCCCTGCTCTAGTTACTCGTGGTCTCTATTCGAGTGCAGATATCCTCTACCTATTCCTGAGACAACTGGCGAACCTGAACTAGGGGCAATGGAGGAACTTGAAACGGAGGTAGTCTAGGAACCTGATTATACGCCAACGCCCGGAGCATGGGAATGGGTGGAATCGCACCTCCAGGCGAGGCCACCTGACAGATCGGAGTAAGTGGCAACTGTGTGTGACGAGGTCCACATAGGTATAGCCTTGATTTCGAGGTCAGTAACAGTATGCCGACGTGTCTATTTGCCTACGTCTGTTATGGATAGTGGAGGAAGAGGGTTCATTGCTGGGATGATTCTAAGATGGAGCAGGAGGTCGTCTAAATTACCCTGCGTTAGTAAAACATCGAGTCTATCTATTATCCTCCTGTGCGCTAGTTGTCGGCATATTTTAAGGCTAACACTAGAACGCGACTGTGTTAAATTTCCAACGTGTTGTTCTTACGAGCAGTCAAATACGTAATATTGTTAGAGTGTTATTAGGCCTCCCTCACATACCGTTTGAAGACCCAGAAATATTAGGACACTGTTGGTTGGGTCTTGTAGCACTAGTGCTGAAATGAAATGAAAAACGTTATGCAGTCATGAAGTCTGTTGATTGATCGTGTTCTTCCTAGGTACTGGACGCGACGTGTTGGCCACTGAGAGTTGCCAAGCACTCTCGTGTTACACAGTCGCGTACCACGTGTTTGCTATCTTTGTTTACCCACACTGGCAGTCTTTCTTTCTCGCTGCACAGGCCATTCGGTAAGGACTGTATACGCAAAGTTACATCGCGGCCATAACAATTTGATGGGCCTCCAAACAAAAGAAATCCGTCCTTGACATGCTTCATACTCATTCATGTTGAAGCTTACTAGTTGGTAGGCTAACCAGAGGGTTAGGTTGTAGGCCTCTGTACCGAGCCGTCAACTCGAACTGTCAAGCTGTTACTGTCAATGAAGCGTTCAAGAGCGCGGTTTGGTGATGCTTTCGTAAATGCATCTGCCGGGTTGTCTTCGCCGTTGATCCAGCGGATCTCCGTGATCTCGCGACGCTCATATGACTGGCGCAGGGCCATGATGTCTATCATGAGACGTTTCTCCTTAGTTGTACCGAGCTTCACAAGACATTCGTACAGGGAGTACGAATCAGTACAAATGATTAGAGGAATCTCAGCTAGGCCGAGGCGCTCCACAATCATCCTCAAGGTAGTGGCAATTGCAATGCCCATATCGAATCCGTTGACCATGCCGTAGATTTCGGAGGCTAACGCGCTGCGTGTGACACGCTTACACTTTGTCGAGCTGTAGTGTATCACATTGC